AACGATTCCATCTTTGGATTTCTGCTCCTATCTGTCCCCAGGTTTTACCATCTTGGTCCTGACTTTCTGGATCTCTTGCTTAAATGACTACAATGGTCTCCTACCTTCCCCTGTTAGCTTCTCCCCTTTCAATCAACCTCATACTGCCAGCATATTAACTAATTAATCCAAGGCATAGGCCTAATCACCACCCACGTAACCTTAAAAAACAAACAAAAATTTTTAATGGCTCCCCAAGTCCTGTTAAGTCTAATCACTAGCATGAGATTCAAAGTCCTTTTACAGATTTGAACTGTAAAGTTTCTTTATGTTGTAAACAGCCCACCATAACTTTACAGTTATTATCTCCCTTTTGTATACCCTGTGCTGAATCCAAACTTACCCAAGCCGAAAAAGACACTTAAGATACCAGGATCTTAAATATATACTAGTTAAGCCCTACCAGTATCTAACATCTCTGCTAGGAAAATCATCCTTTAAGATCCAGCTCAAATACTGTTTTGTTTATGAAACTTTCTTTCTCTTTTCTATGAACCCTCATAGAACGTCAGGTTGTAGCTCTTTTGTAAGCTTTTTGACATTATATCTCACACTATAATATTTGGTTTTGGATCTTCAAACTAAATTCATTTAGCACAAGCTGTAAGCAAAGCACTTTGAAAAATATTTTAGGGATACAGTGGAGAACAAGACATTCATTCAGCAAAATGCAAAGAGAAAAAACAACTTTTTTAACTGGAGTGGAAAGTGGAAAGTCATTCAAGCAGTTGAAAGAACTCAAGGGCCGAATAAGATAATGACTGACAATTACCATATGGAGTTAATGTGATGGAGATAACTGATGACCTTAGCAATGGTTGGCAGGATAGGAGTAGAAGAGGACTGAAGAGCAAGAAGGAAGAATGCAAATGGAGACAGTAAGTTAAAACTTGGGGGAAATAAGTATATGAAGGGAGTGGTAGCTGGAGGGAGAAGTAAGAGCAAAGGGAAGTTTTTGTTTATTTATTATTTACGAGGGGAAACTTGACATGTTTAACCATTAAAGTTTCCAATAAAGAAGAAGTTGAAGATACTCAACTGAAGAATCAACGTTTTTGGAACTGCCAGAGGAAGTAGGTTTAAGCATGGGGGAGGGACTGGCCCTTCCAGGAGAAGGAGAACCTCCCAGCAAAAAAGGGACTGGAATCACAGCAGATTCAACAATTTTAGGCGCATATGTGAAGCTGAGGCTGCATACCCTCTCCTTCAAAAAACAGTGTCAAAGAGTAATTTCCTTATTTCTCCGTTTAAACATAAACCTGATTCTTATTCTTAGGACTAAAAGGGAAAGAATTTAGAAGAAACAAGAATTTTTAAGAAAATTATACTAAGTATTCATAAGCAAACAGATTTATATATTTGTTTATGAAAACAAAATATATATTACATGAATATTCTAAAAGTCAAATAATGAAACTCTAAGCTTATATACTACTTATAGTTTTAAGATAGTTTTTAATGCATTGATTCCAAAGTCTGACACATTTCTAGTAAACAGTTATTGGGCAATTGGAAACTGCTGTAAGACTGATAGGAGAAGGCACTCCCACCTCCTCAACTCCTTTTTCAATAATCACTTTGATTCTTTGACGTGACAGTAATAATAAGTTTAGAAATAACCCTTCCTTCCAAATATCAATAATACCTTCTATAACCTAATTTTTCTGAAAATAAATATGAACATTTTCCTCTGTTATTTATATAGTATATCCCTATTTTTTCATTTATATTAAAAATGGTCACTTCTAACATAAGTGATTCCTAATTCAACCGATTTTTATTTACACATTGCACACATTGGTTTAACAAATGTAAAGGAACTGCAGAGATAACAGTAGCAATGCAATTCTCCTTATGGGAGAAGCAGGGTTCGTCATTTAGCAGGCAAACACAGGTTAAAGACCTCAAGTCGTCCTCCTGGTAAGTTCCAGAGCTGGTTCCAGAATTCATGCCCTATAAGTCCTATGAAGCTGTTTGTTTTTTTTTTAACTGATCCGTGTTTCCTTCTCATAGTCTTACCAATCATGTGATCATTACAATAAACCATAACATAATTTTCAAATATCCTCCCTTACAACTAGGAGATAAAAATTCATGATTTGTTTATGGACTTACACAAGGCTATGTAGTTTTGGTTGAAATTAAAAATGACAAACAAATGGGAAATTCAGCTATGCAAAGCAACTAACTGGACACACAAACTTCTAAATATTACATACCCTTGTCACTAATGTGCCTATTATGAAAAAATAAGTTATACAGAACCGAAGAACATGATTCAAAATCAAAAGAATTCTGCAAATTAAAGACATGAAAATGAAAAATGATAGCTCTACTATTTAACATGAGCTCCCGGAACACAATCAGCAGTCAAAATCTTAATCAGATAATGTTGCCCTCATCATTGTTAAAGTCTATTTTCATTCATAATTTACATTCTGTGTGTAAAGAAAGAAATTGTTAATGTTTTACCCAAGCTGTAAGTCCAAGTGATCCTTAAACCTTGAGAGCCACATCATGCCCCTTTATTGGCTGAAATCCCCTTAATGATTCCCATCTCACCCAGAATAATAGTCAAGGTCCCGCCATGGTCTACCAGGCCTTATAAAATGGTCATCACAACATCCTACCCTTTCTCATCTCTTACTTGTCCACTCCATACTCTCTCTGGCCACAGTGCCCTTCTTGACGCTCCTTCAACATACCAAGCACACTCATTATACTTGTTCTTCCCACTGAATGTAACTCTCTTCAGCCATAAATCTAAATCATTCCCTCTCACTACATTCAAGTCTGTGCTCCGTTCTCCCCTTTTCAGAAAGGCCTACCCTAGACATGGTATTGGATACAGTCTCCCACCATAAATCTAAATCATTCCCTCTCACTACATTCAAGTCTGTGCTCCGTTCTCTCCTTTTCAGAAAGGCCAACCCTAGACATGGTAGTGGATACAGTCTCCCACCATCCTCAATTTACTCTGCTTTATTTCCTCCTTAGCATGTATCCCCATTAACATATATATTAAAATCCTCGTGTTATGTTTTCCTCCGCTAGAATGAAAACTCCAGAAGAGTAGGAACTTCTGTTATATGTATGAATGAATGATCATCTTATCATTTCATCCAGCTGAATAGGGAACTTCTCCAGAGAAACGACAGTAAAAAAAATCTTAACGTTCTTGAGTTCTTCAAATATCAATACAATTCAAAGTGAAGTATGAGTATCAATGGTATTCTTTATAAAATATAAATTGGTGAAGATGACAAATGATCATGGTATTTTTTATGTGTGTGTACAACGTTGTGTGCACAGTTGTTTGTGTTCCATAACCTGTAAGGCACGTAATTCAGTGGGTCTGCATCATACCAAGAAACATAGATTAATCTCTGTTACTAATATTTCATGTGACAGTGAGAAGCAATGTAGGTTTGTAAAATAGATGGATTAGACTGAAGTTCTTTCTATGTGTCAAGACTATAAGGGATCTAGGAGGTCTCTTCCTTCTTGATCTCACTTCCAAACATGAAAAACTCAAACAACTGTATTCAATTTAACATCAATATATACATACAGCTGGATGCCAAGAAAATGCACTATTTTTGGCTTCAATTTATTTCTTTTTAATGTGTAGTTCAATGATATTTATAAGCTGAAAATTGGGAGATGTTTACTACCAGAAAACTCTATACACGTATCCCCAAAAAGTGGTTCTCAACTCTGCAAGAATCAGTGCAGACATACTTACAAACCCAATTACTTGGGCATATCATTCTAAACACAGCTTTTTGCAGGACTCTTTCTTAATTTAGCCAAGAACAGAGACCCGAGTATATGCAATGCATCAAGATATACTTGAAATTATCTTTCCTTTAAGCTGGAGAGTGGTGTTTTCTCAAGATGCATACAATAATAATCTGTTTAGTCCATAATTCTAGAAAATAACTAAATCCCTGAAGCATCCTGGCAGAAGAACTTTAAGCTTAGATCCTTTCTGAATAAGCCATTTCACTTGAAGAGATGTGATCAGACTGAAGAACAAAGCTATTTATCTCTCTGTGTGATGGAACCCGAAAAGCCCACTGGTAGTTGCTCTCCAGGAAGCCTGGATGTGGACGAGCTAAGTCAAACTCCAGGAGAGTTGTGGAAGTGGTAACACTAGAGGGGTAACAGAAAGGGAGAGGACTCCCAAGCTTCTATAAATAACTAAGCAATAGTAGCAAGAGTTGTAATCACTATTTAAGACAACTGGTAGTCTTCCTTGAAGCAGGAGATGAACACGAGCCATCAGTCACTCATGGTGACACTCAGGGAAATGGGGACTGCAAAGGCCAGCATGGCTGCATCCAGCTTACTGAGGAGTGTGACTTACACTAAACTTTCCACAATGGCTGACAAATGATCACAGTAGACTCTTTGACTAATTAACCTTCAATTTACATATGGTAGTCAACATTCAGTAGTTAAAATTAGCATTGGTAAACAGATTGACTCTGAGAGCATCAAGAGCTTTTAGAGGTGTCCCTGTGCCCAGAGAACACGGCAGAAAAGAAAGGAAACTTGACTTTCATGACCCAAGTGTTCTCCCACTACAGTTACATAATTAATAACACTGTATATGTTTTAAAGTTTTGATTCTGGAAAAGTCATCAAAAAGTCTTCATTTCAAAACTGTTTACACCCTAAAAAGGATAATAGAAATCAGGGTAACTGTGTACCATATTAGGTAAGAAATCTTCTCCTATTCCTGAAAATCTCTTCAAATTATTTTTTCATCTTCAAATCCTAAAAAGAGAATGCCTAAATGCTGGACTTATTATCTAAAGTCTTTAGTCGTTACTTGCAAAACTGAAGACCACACCAAGTAAGCATGGATAAGAAATAAACAAGTGGCAAGAGGTCAAGAACTCCAAAATTAATGACAAAAGAATGATCAGCAAATGATAATAATACAATGTTCTGACCTGCTGAGTCTGCAATCTCTCCCACTCCTGATGTCCTTGATATTATCTATTTCTTGCAATGCTAAGAAAAAAATAACAAAGAAAGACAAGTATTTAGGGAAAAATCAAAGTAATTTGAAATACTTAGGTGAAAAAAAATTAAACATTATAAAGAGAGTTAAGATTTCTACTACATAACTTTGGAAGAAATATTAAGTAATTTCATTCTAAAATTTTTTCTAGACCAGATTCATAGCCACACAACGTCAGACTCATAGGACTATGCCAGTTAATAGCTGATGAATGAATAATAAATGAACACTCAAAAAACAAACTTTCATAAATGACAGGCAAGATATAATGACAGTTGAAATGAAAAAAAAATGTGAACCAATTATCTTGAAGCTGTTTCAATTAAATCACTTTTAAAATTGTTATATTATTAATTCAGTCATGTAAGCACATGTGCATGTATGTAGCCTATGATCACCCTGGGCCCAGTTTTATTGAGAGAAACAATTTTAACCATTCTTATAGTCCATAATGGTTAACTTAGAATATACTTATAATGCAACCTTACTTACAACTACAATACTTCAAGGATAACAGGCTAACGGCCACTGAAATTTATTAACTACAGACTAGCACTTACCAAAGCACAGTGCTACCTTGTACTAGGATACTAAGTTGTATGAGAATAAAGGGTTTACAAACTCACTGGATAATTTCTACGTTAAAACAATAAAAACAAAAATAGCAAACTAAACCCAGAAACACTGTATTGATACTTAGTCACTTTGTCTGAGCCAGACCCCAAAGACCAGGATTTAAGCATTGGTCCCATGACAGAAAAGCTTTATGTCTTTAGAAATTTATCTAACCTCTTTGAAGGTTTATTTTCTTGATCCGTAAAATGGTTTCATAGCCTTGATAAAAATCCAAAATTTAAAAAAATTTCAATACATGTAACTATATTATCATTATTTTATTATTTATTTATCAGTATAGAATTCTTTTTTATAAGGGGAGGTTCATTATCTATTCTCAGCTTTTTAAACTTTGGCCTCAGAATGATCACGGTTTCAAAATGGTTTCAAAATGTTTAAACATTTGTTAATGACTTTTATGATCTTGAAACATGATCATTGAAATTGTATAAATATAAATTACAAAACGTTTATGCCCCAGGAGGGTACAGTTACGTGTACCGTCAATCAGATTATGTGGTTAGTATTTTATTTCATTTATGTATTATTAATTAATTAATTAATTTTTGGATGCATTGGGTCTTCGTTGCTGCATGCGGGCTTTCTCTAGTCACGGAGGGTGGGGGCTACTCTTCATTGTGGTGTGCGGGCTTCTCATTGTGGTGGCTTCTCTTGTTGCAAAGCATGGGTAATAGGCACATGGGCTTCAGTAGTTGTGGCATGTGGGCTCCGTAGTTGTGGCTCGTGGGCTCTAGAGCACAGGATCAGTAGTTGTGGCACACGGGTTTAGTTGCTCCACAGCATGTGGGATCTTCCCAGACCAGGGATCAAACCCATGTCCCCTGCATTGTCAGGCAGATTCTTAACCACTGCGCCACCAAGGAAGCCCTGTGGTTAGTATTTTAAATAAGACTTCAAAATGATATGCTCAGGGTAACAGAATTCTACTTCCAGGATATTGATCTAACATACTAGAGCCAGAGATTTAGAGATGATCTAGGACCAGGTTACCTGTATAACTTTTGATTATTAGTTTATATAAGACTTCTCATTTTTGAAAGAAACAATAATTTGGGGTGGTTTCTGGGGTACCTAAATTCTTTTAAAGGCTACAAAATAGTAAAAGAAATTACACACCAAGACTAAGTGGGATTTATCCTAGGAATGCAAAGTTAGTTTAACATCTAAGTATCAAATAATGTAACATATCATACTAATAAAATAAAACACAAAACCATACGATCACCTCTATAGATGCTGAAAAGCATTTGACAAAATCCAACACCCTTTCATGATATAAACATTCAACAAACTAGCAGTAGAAGGGAACTTCCTCAACCTAATAAAGAGCATCTACAAAAACCTCACAACTGTCATACGCAGTAGTAAAAGACTGACTGGTTTCCCACTAAGATCAGAAATAAGACAGGGGTGTCCACTCATGTCACTTCTATTCAAGACTGTACTGGAGGGAGACCTTCAAGATGGCAGAGGAGTAGGACGCGGAGATAACCTTCCGCCCCACAAATACATCAGAAATACATCTACACGTGGAACAACTCCTACAGAACACCTACTGAATGCTGGCAGAAGACCTCAGACTTCCCAAAAGGCAAGAAACTCCCCATGTACCTGGGTAGGGCAAAAGAAAAAAGAAAAAACAGAGGCGAAAGAATAGGGATAGGATCTGCACCTCTGGGAGGGAGCCGTGAAGGAGGAAAAGTTTCCACACACTAGAAAGCCCCTTAACTGGTGGAAACCAGGGGAGGGTTGCGGGGAAGCTTCGGAGCCATGGAGGAGAGCTCAGCAACAGGGGTGCAGAGGGCAAAGCAGAGAGATTACTGCACAGAGGATCGGTGCCAACCAGCACTCACCACCCGAGAGGCTTGTCTGCTCACCCGCCAGGACAGGTGGAGGCTGGGAGCTGAGGCTAGGGCTTCAGAGGTCAGATCCCAGGGAGAGGACTGGGGTTGGCTGTGTGAGCAAAGCCTGAAGAGGGCTGGTGCACCACAGCTAGCTAGGAGGGAGTCCAGGAAAAAGTCTAGACCCGCCTAAGAGGCAAGAGACTATTGTTTCAGGGTGCACGAGGAGAGGGGTTTCAGAGCAACGCCTAAATGAGCTCCAGAGACGGGCATGAGCCGCGGCTATCAGCACGGACAACAGAGACAGGCATGAAGTGCTAAGGCTGCTGCTGCAGCCACCAAGAAGCCTGTGTGCGAGCACAGATCACTATCCACACCTCCCCTCCCAAAAGCCTGTGCAGCCCACCACTGCCAGGGTCCCATGATCCAGGGACAACTTCCCCGGGAGAACACACAGCACACCTCAGGCTGTTGCAATGTCATGCTGGCTTCTGCCACCGCAGGCTTGCCCGCCTTCCGTACCCCTCCTTCCCCCTAGCTTGAGTGAGCCAGAGCTCCCTAATCAGCTGATCCTTTAACCCCATCCTGTCTGGGCGGGAACAGATGCCCTCAGGCGACCCACACGCAGAGGTGGGGCCAAATACAAAGCTGAACCCCAGGAGCTGTGCGAACAAAGAAGAGAAAGGGAAATTTCTCCCAGCAGCCTCAGCAGCAGTGGATTAAATCTGCACAGTCAACGTGATGTACCCTGCATCTGTGGAATACCTGAATACACAATGAATGATCCCAAAATTGAGGAGGTAGACTTTGGGAGCAACTGTAGCCTTGGGGTTTTCTTTCTGCATCTAATTTGTTTCTGGTTTTATGCTTATCTTAGTTTAGTATTTAGAGTTTATTATCATTGGTAGATTTGTTTATTGATTTGGTTGCTCTCTTCCTTTTTTTTTCTTATATATAAATATATATTTTTTTCTCTTTCTCTTTTTGTGAGTGTTTATGTGTATGCTTCATTGTGTGATTTTATCTGTATAGCTTTGCTTTTACCATTTGTACTTGGGTTCTGTCTCTCCGTTGTTTTGGTTTGTATGTTTCTTTGTTTTAGTATAGTTTTTAGCGCTTGTTATCATTGGTGGATGTGTTTTTTGGTTTGATTGCTCTCTCTTTTTTTTATCACTTTTTAAATTTGTTTATTTTTAATAATTTTTTAATTTATTATTTTAATTATTTTATTTTACTCTTTCTTTCTTTTTTTCTCCCTTTTCATCTGAGCCATGTGGCTGACAGGGTCTTGGTGCTCCAGCCAGGTGTCAGTCTTGTGCCTCCGAGGTGGAGAGCCAAGTTCAGGACATTGGTCCAACAGACACCTCCGAGCTCCACGTAATATAAAATGGCAAAAGCTCGCCCAGAGATCTCCATCTCAACCCTAAGACAGAGCTGCACTCAACGACCAGCAAGGTACAGTGCTGGACACACTATGCCAAACAACTAGCAAGACAGGAACACAACCACAACCATTAGCAGAGAGGCTGCGTAAAATCATAATAACGTCACAGACAACAAAACACACCACCGGATGTGGGCCTGCCCACCACAAAGACAAGATCCAGCCTCATCCACCAGAACACAGGCACTAGTCCCCTCCACCAGGAAGCCTACACAACCCACTGAAGCAACCTTAGCCACTGGGGGCAGACACCAAAAACAACGGGAACTACGAACCTGCAGCCTGCAAAAAGGAGACCCCAAACACAGTAAGTTAAACAAAATAAGAAGACAGAGAAACACACAGCAGATGAAGACGCAAGGTAAAAACCCACCAGACCAAACAAATGAAAAGGAAATAGGCAGTCTACCTAAAAAAGAACTCAGAGTAATGATAGTAAAGATGACCCAAAATCTTGGAAATAGAATGGAGAAAATACAAGAAACATTTAACAAGGACCTAGAACAACTAAAGAGGAAACAAACAATGATGAACAATGCAATAAATGAAATTAAAAATCCTCTAGAAAGAATCAATACAAGACTAACTGAGGCAGAAGAATGGGTAAGTGACCTGCAAGATAAAATAGTGGAAATAATTACCACAGAGCAGAATAAAGAAAAAAGAATGAAAACAATTGACGACAGTCTCAGAGACATCTGGGACAACATTAAACACATCAACATTCAAATTATAGGGGTCCCAAAAGAAGAAGACAAAAAGGGACTGAGAAAATATTTGAAGAGATTATAGCTGAAAACGTCCCTAATATGGGAAAGGTAATAGTCAATCAAGTCCAGGAAGTGCAGAGAGTCCCATACAGGATAAAGCCAAGGAGAAACATGCCAAGACACATATTAATCAAACTATCACAAATTAAATACAAAGAAAAAATACTAAAAGCAGCAAGGGAAAAGCAACAAATAACATACAAGGGAATCACCATAAGGTTAACAGCTGATCTCTCAGCAGAAATTCTGCAAGCCAGAAGGGAGTGACAGGATATATTTAAAGTGATGAAAGGGAAGAA